TGGGCTAAGCTTTTCCCCTCGTAGGAGCTGCTGTTGGGGGCTCGGGCTGTTGGTCAGTGGATGAGGAAGCGCGTGTTCTCGCCATCTGCGAAAGAACAGAGTAGAAATTTAATTAGCATTGAGAAACCAAACCGCACGACAGAAAGGAATAAATGTGAAGTTTTTTCCTAACTCTGTAGCCTTTGGGGGATAAATACCGACGTCTCCATACCGATCCCTCAGACTCTACTAAGCTTGTCTATGAACTGTGAGGCTCATGTAACCTAGATCTCTAATACCAACCTGTCAGGGCCCGAATTTCCCACCTTCGGGAGTCATGATGATGCCTACTAATGTGAGCTAGGCAAGTCGACTGTTTGGACAATTTGCCTTTTTCCCATTTTAAATCCTTTAACAATTAAAAGCAATAATTTAAAGACAGTGGAATTTATGACAAGCGAAAGAAAAACAATAAAACTACTAAGTATATCCAATACAACTGTTTAAACAAGACTACACAGAACTAGAGTCACAGCTTCACAGACAGTCTAAGAATACTACAAACAAGGTCTGAATGAAATACATAAGTCTGTCTCTGAATAAGTAAAAATAGTAAGAGAAAATATAGGAGGAGACGCCAAGGCCCGCAGACATCTGCAGGACTACCTCGGGTCACCTACGTGGACTGAAGACAGCACCCTCACTGCGGTCCAAATGCTCCGGTATCAGTATCTGCACACAGTGCAAAGTGTAATATCAGCACAACCGACCCTATGTGTTGGTAAATGCCTAGCCTAACCTCGGCGAAGTAGTGACGAGGCTAGGACCAGACTACCAAATAAACCTGTGTAGTTAAATCATATACAGAGGAAATAGAAGCAGATAATTACAACTAAAGTTGGGCGGGGGAAACATGCTGCGGGGAGTAACAGGTAACAACAGAACGACAATAGAGAAATATAAGGAATGCCATAAATCAATCACCAGCAAAGATAAGGAAATAGAAGAACATGTACACATGTAATACCGTTGCAAGCGTGCAACCCGATCCCATTTCATATGATACCGTTGCAGGAATGCAACCCGCTCCCATTTCATATACTACTGTTGCAGGCGTGCAACCCGCTCCCATTTCATATATTACCGTTGCCGGCGTGCAACACGCTCCCATTTCATTTATCAACACCAATCATAAAGGAATCCCGGCAAGGGAACAATAGCAATATAACAACATCCCGGCATGGGAATAATAATATTACAATAACATCCCGGCAAGGGAATAATAATATTACAATAACATCCCGGCAAGGGAATAATAATATCAAAACAAACATCCCGGCAAGGGAACAATAATATGACAATAACATTCCGGCAAGGGAACAATAATGATAATAACATCCCGGCAAGGGAACAATAATGATAATCCTCATATGAAGCGCAATAAATCACAACGTGTCATAACTATTACAATACAAGACTCACGGGCATGCTTGACACTGAAGTATAGATACTTGTCACCATGCCTATACGTCGTACTCCACAGCTACCATATAGCAAATAAGACACGACTTCTAATCCCTCAAGCTAAGGTTAGACCAAACACTTACCTCGAAATATTTTGGGTAAACGGACTTGGACCTGTGATTTGACGGTCCCGGAGGGTCCGTAGGAAAATGTGGGACTTGGGCATTTGCCCGGAATCGAATTCCGAGGTCCCAAGCCGGAGAAATAAATTTTTAAAGAAAATTATTTTCTGGAATATTTATGAGTTTTTGGAAATGAAATGTGTTTAAATCTTGATGGTATCGGGCCCGTATTTTAGTTTCGGAGCTCAGTACATGTCTTATATGTGATTTAATATGAGTCCGTGAAATTTGGTAAGAAACGGAAGTCGTTTGAGGTGATTCGTACCCGTAGTTGTGAAGATTGATACTATGAAAGTTTTGAGATTTTTCTTAGATTTCTATGCTAAATTTGTTGTTTAAGAGGTTATTTTGGCGATTTGATCGCATGGATAAGTTCATATGATATTTTTGAGTTAGTATGCATGTTTGGTTTGGAGCCTCAAGGGCCCGCGTGAGTTTCGGAAGGTTTTGAACTTATGAAAAATTGCAGAGCAGGCCTTCATCGCGTTCGCAATAGGCCTGTCGCGTTCGCGATGGGTCAGGTCCAGCTGATCATCGCGTTCGACGACTCACGTTCACGGAGCTTCAGCTCCTAGAGCCTTCGCGTTCGCGGTCAGATGGCCGTATTCGCGTATATCAAATGTGAAAACCCCCCGACCTTTAACCTTATGCGTTCGCGAGTGCCTAGACGCATTCGCGAAGGGTACTCCCCTCACAGCCTCGCGTTCGCGTTCCAAGCTCCGCATTCGCGAAGAAAAAACTGGCACCTGAGGAAATTGCCTTACGCGTTCGCGAGTGGAACCACGCGAATGCGAAGAACAAACCCTCTGTGCACCTGAGACAGCAAAAACCTGCAATTTTTCTTAAGTTCAAAACCTTCTGAAACCCATTCGAAACTCACCCGAGCCCTCGGTGCTCAAAAACCAAACATGCATATTAACTCAAAAACATCATATGAACTTATCTGTGCGATCAAATCGCCAAAATAACCTCTTAAACAACGAATTTAGCATAGAAATCTAAGAAAAATCTCAAAACTTTCAAAGCATCAATCTTCACAACTACGGGTCCGAATCACCTCAAACGACTTCCGTTTCTTACCAAATTTCACGGATTCATCTTAAATCACATATAAGACCTTTATCGGGCTTCGGAACAAAAATATGGGCCCGATACCATCAAGTTTTAAACACATTTCATTTTCAAAAACTTATAAATATTCCAGAAAATGATTTTCTTTAAAAATTCATTTCTCGGGCTTGGGACCTCTAAATTCGATTCCGAGCATATGTCCAAGTCCCATATTTTTTTACGGACCCTACGGGACCGTCAAATCATGGGTTGGGGTCCATTTACCCAAAATATTGACCGAAGTCAACTTAAATTCATTTTAAAGTCAAAATTCATCATTTTCAGAGATTTCCACATAATAGCTTTCCGGCTATGCGCCCGGACTGCGCAAGTAAATCGAGGTGATGCTGAAAGAGGTTTTTAAGGCCTCGGAACACAGAATTTATTTTTAAAACAAGTGATGACCTTTTGGGTCATCACAGTAACCCAAATATTAGTTCAACAAACAAAATCCATTTGGATGGTGAAAATTAGATTTTTAACAAGCTTAAACATGTGGGTTTAGATTTCAAATTTGATTTTGTGAGAAATTTGGAGTGAGTATTATTTAGAATTTTTAGAAATAGTATAAAGAGGTTGTATATAAAATTTGAAGTCATTTAATGGAGATTTGGACTAATTTTGAACAAGAATTGCAACTGCAAATCGTGGAAGAAGTTCGTCTGCAGACGCTTGTATAAAGATGTATAATGGTGTATAAGATGTGTTTATACAAGATTATACATAATTATACAAAAAACTGACTTCGTCTTCTTCCTTGCGTTTTTTTTGAAATTTAACTCAAATCTTGCTCAAATCTACTCCAAATCACTTCAAATTTAAATTTTGAACTCCTTTTGATATTTTCAATCAATTGGAACAACACCAATCCAAACAACTAACAAACTCAAAAAATCTTTTTTTTTGAAAGCCAAGCTTTGAATGGCCTTCAATGGTGGAATGTTGAATCTTCAATTTTCTTACATTGCAACTAGGTGACACAGGGGAGATGCAGTAATGGCAGACGGCCCCTTGAAGCATATGTAGAAGATGTGAGAAGAAAAGAGAGTGAAAGCAATGTTTGTGAGAACATAAATTTAACTCTATAGCTTTTAGAAGCAATGATGGTAAGAAAACAGATTTTGAATTTACTAGTGCTTTCAAAATATGTACAATATGGGCTAGGTCGGGTAAAACTTAAAAATATGGGCCATTTTTTGTTGTGAAGCCAAATATATTTTCTTGTAATTCTTTCTTAAAAGAAATGACAGATTCATTTGTAAAGAAAAGTAGCGACTGTTGAACTGCCTTTTTTATTTTTTTTATAAATCATTTGTTAAAGGAAAAAGGGAAAAATTTGACAACAGGGATAAATGCGAAAGATGAACGATGAGAGTGGCACCTCACCTCCCTTAGCCCCTGCTTTATAGATATATATAGATGAGTATCTTGTTAGGATGTGTGATGCCATCATCTTTAAGCTGTTAGAAAGGTGATACATTTATTTATTTAATTATATCTTAACAAACTTAGATATATAAGATTGAAACGGTTCCTTTGCAAGTATTAATGTGAACTTATTACACAAAATCTACAAAAGGCAGTTTGATGTTACATTTGAAAACAAAGGGTTTAGGTTACAATTAAAAATTGAAAAACAATTCATGTAATTAAATTGTGTATTGAATTCAAACCAGGCATTTTTGTCAATAACATATATATCATCTATCAGTCCTATGAAAGTCATTCTTCATTGTCTTTCAACTTTTACTGTTATTTATTTGTTGCAGTTTCTGGAGATTTTTGTCGATCACAATTGCAAATAAAACCAGCCAACTCCCAACTTTATCATATACGTAGTGTCTCCCTCAACCCATCAGACCACCACCACTGTGCAATATACACACTAAATGAATATTGATTCCAAACGCATACAGATGATGTTACGTTCTAAGTCAAGGTGCTTCTTATTTGCTGCTATATTCATGACATATTTGTCTCATTTTTGCTTTTCGTTTTTTTGTAGTGGTGATGTCGGAGCAGATACCTGATACCTCCCACCAGCCAAATGTACTAGAATTTATCCACCAAGACTTAGACAGACCATGATCTCCTATAATTTGTACTCGTCTCATTTATATAGGGTGACAATTTTATTGGATTAAAGTTGTGTTCTTGGATTTCATTTGTTGCTTTTGATGTCCTGAAGTTGTGAATATTCATGCATGTTTTTCTATTGTATCTTGTTTAAAGACTGAATTTTTTATGTTTTTGGAGGATTTGTAGAGCTGGATCCATTATTGAGCCTGGAAAGAGGAGACATGCTTCTATCTTTTCAAGAACAATTTCTGCATCCAAGCTTTGCAGATGTGATGCTATGGGATCACAAATTGATTCAGATGCCCTTGTTTCTCTTGAACGAAAACCCACTATTAAGCATTCGTCCGAGGTATTAAAACCTTTTTATGTCATGTTTGATGCTCCAACTATAAAGTAATGGTTTATTTTTTATTTAGGTTCTCAATAGGCGAATGTTATATCAAAGAATTGATATTTAATTCATAAAAATGGAGAAATTGATAGCGAAAATTGATATAAAAATGGGATTGTGGTGTAATTGTAGTTGTATCAAGTTGACACAAAACTTAGATGGTTCGACTTTCATACATCAAAACCCTGATTCTTTTGTATGGAGGGAGTAGTTCATTTTTTTATTCAAGCGCATTATAAGGAATTATGCAAATAAATCTTGATTTTTTTCCTTTTTGGGAAGTGATTTTTTGGTGGATATGGATAATAAGTTTTGTCCAAAAATATTAAATTTTATTTGTTATATTTATTTTTTGTTTGTGTAGAATGGGATCAATAGATTTTTGATCGTGCAAGAGCAAACGAGGAAACTTGAGGAGGAGCTGAGAGAGACAAGAGAGCAATTAAGTTTTGTTGAAGAAGAAAAGAGCAGAGCCATTGATGAACTTAGTGAGATGAAACATGTAGCCTATGAGACCAATGTGAAGGCGACCGATGGATTATCGCCAAGGAAATCAAGAGAACTTTATGCAGAAGTTAGGACTTTGATGGAGTTGCTTACTCACAAACAAGAAGAATTGAAGATAAAAGATAAGAATATCAAGTCTTTGAAGTTGGAGCTCGAAAAGGCGAGGCAATGTGAGCTCAAGTTACTAGAGAAAGATACAAATTTAGGGAAAGTGAAAGAAGGATTTAGTCATGTAAAAGCATTCAAGATTTGCGTAACAGATTGGTTGTCTGATTTTAGAAGAAGGATTCAAGAATTAGAAGATGAATTGGAGAACAGGAAGTTATCAGAGTCCAAAATATTTGATGCTTGGTTGTCAAAGACAAGACAGTTTGAACAAATCAAGATTGAACTCGAAGAATCCAAGCTCGAGATTGCTTCTCTTCATGAAAAGATTGAATTTTTAGACACTACTTTCAAGGAAAATGGAAGGTATCTTGATCATTCTTGCAATGAGGAAATGGAAAATATCAAGTATGAACTTGAATTGGCAAAAGAGAACGAGAAGGCGGCATCATCAAAGGCCAAGGCTTTAAATGATGAGATGAGCTTGCTGAAAAATGAAATGAAGTTGGCAAATGAGGCAGAAGAAAAGAGCAGAAAGGCGTTAGATGATTTAGCGTTAGCATTGAAGGAAGTTGCTTCGGAAGCATGTGAGGCCAAAGAGAAACTTAGTGCTACACAATTAGAACTCGGACAAGTGAAAAAGGAGGCTGGAAATCTGAAGGAGATGATCAAGAGCATTAAGGCTAGATATAAAAAGCTTATGGATGAAGCAAAAGAGGAGACGGAACTATATAGAAATATAGCGGACAGATTGAAGTTAGAGGTGGAGGAGTCACTAGTGGCTTGGAATGGGAAAGAAATGAGCTTCATCGCGTGTATAAGAGAAGCTGAAGAAGAACGGGATGTTGCTCTCCAAGAGGCCGCTAAGCTCAACGAGTCTCTTAAAGCAGCCGAGCAAATGACTAAAGCAGAAAGGGAAGAAAACTGTAAATTGAGAGACATATGAAGCAAATGCTGGAAAAGGAATGAATCGATGCCATTTCCTCTCTCGAGGAAATGGAAGCCTTGTGATTGATGAAGCTGCTTCATGAAAATTTAACTGAATATAAAAATGCGGATCAGAGTAATGAGGTTATGAGTTAGTTCTATCGACCACTTTTACAAGAAATGTGGTTGTTTTTTAAATTTCAAGCTTGGTGTATAGAAGCATTGGTTAATATGTTTACTCTCTTGTTTACTCCATAAGTTATGATCTTGATGGCTTCAGTGAGTTTTAAATTTCTAGAGAACTTTGATCTCCCAAATTTAATTTTTGTTAGGATGAATTTCTTTGTTTATGGACGTCGAAAAAAGCTTGTAAGTTAAGTTTTTCAAAGTGGGGATGTTTAAGTAGCTTTTCCAACTGCAGAGCATTTTCAAATTTATCAGTACATAATATTGCTTGGAGCTGTATTTCTTGATTTGGAGCCTGCTATTGTGGATGAAGTGAGGACTAGCTCATATCCATGTATAAAAGTAATTATTCATCAAATCTTGTTTACATTATACATTAATCAAAACTAGCTACTATATTTTTAAAAACCAAGAAGCAGAGTATATAGAGTGAATTAAAAAAAGAGACTACTGTCAGTTGCTTCCTATTTTCTCTTGGTCTCTTGCTTATGTGCATCAGCTTGTCTGTAGATGATCATCCAAAGATGGCCAACTCAGATCTGCTGCAATAACATCATCATCAGAACCCAATAATTCCTCCATTGTGAAGCACTCGTCGCTGCTTATAACTAAAGATGGCTCAGCATAATAATCTGATGATGTTAACATATCAGTAAAAGTGCTAGGTGCTCTCTCTTCAATGTTCTGCACTTGCTGTACTGACCACTGATCAGACACAAATCCAGCACTACTACTTCCTTGAGCCATTGGACGTATGATGTTCTGCTCATCAATGCAGATAGGCAACTGAGATTCTGCAGTATTTGATTTTTCTGCTAGTAAACTACCAATGTACTCGTACACTTTCCTTATCCACATGATCAATATTTTCCATCATCTCAGCCAATGTTGATGGAACAGTATCCCTATGATCACATTCAATATTATGATCTTGTTGCAACTGAAAGTCATTATTATCAGATGAATATGTGAATTGATTTGAAGTTGTCCCTTCCTCTGAAGATCTTCCAACATATTCAACATGACTTTGAGCTGAAGGTGCCATCTCTTCAATATTCTGCGCTTCTACATTCACTAATTGTTCAATATTTTGGTCTTGTTGCAACTGAAACACATTATTATGTTCAGATGATGAGAATTGATTAGAAGGACACAAATCATGAAAACCTGTCCCGTGATCCTCTGAAGAACTTGTAACATACTCAAGTTCATGTTCTTGAGTTGTCAAAAGCATGGCATTCATAACAGCAACAACGTTGTTTCCACTGGCCGCTATTACCATATGATCTCCTAATTCCTCATGATCATGATCATGTACAGATTTACGCTTAATGCAACACAAAACAAAGTCCTCATACTGAATTGAATTTCGTTGTCTTAACACCTTTAGGATGTTGTCATCAAGACTATACTCTTTCATATTCCAAACAATATTATTAACTTGATCGCCACCTAATCTCTCCGTGCAGCTATCTTTTTCTTGATATTGAAAACTTTTCTTGAACCCAACCAACTTTGACCCTTTAAAAACTGGTTTACTTTTGTCAAGTCCTTTCCAACAGCCTCCTCCAATCAGCCCTCGACTGAACCTTGAACCATCCGCTTTTGTTCTCTTCAACTTAGTAAAGAAATAGTTTACCTTTGTATCATCTCCCAGAAAATTGTTTTCGAATATATCCCATGGCTTCTTATTCCCGTAAAGATCCTCAACTCGAATATGATCACACGAGAAAGTCTTGCAAGAGACGAATTTGAGTAGATAGCGAACAAGCTCTTCATCAGTGGGTCGAAACCTGATTCCCAGTACTGGATATGGACCATAATTATGGCTAATGATAGTCATGTTTTTTGTTTTCAGTGGAAGAAATTAGCCTGAAAATAGAAAGGAAATACTTTAACTGAACACTAACAACACTCTTCAAGAATGAATTGGTGAAGTGAAGAACAACAAAGGAGCTACTGAGGGTTTAATGTAGAAAAGATATTGCCGATTTGATGCTACTTATATACGTAGGTTTGGGCTATAGGCGGGAAGCAATAGAAAGCCGACTTTAGGAAGAATTAGGATATTAAACTTCCTATTCCACCGTTCTAGACATTTGTAATAAACACCCCTATAATATTACTGACTTATTTCCTTTTTGCTTCGTTCCAAAGAATGACTCCTTTCTAAATTTGGTAGCAATTTAGCTTAAACTTACAATTCTACCATTAATGAGAAGCTTTTTTATAACCATACAAGTGCTCTGGACCCCCTTTTCACTTGTTTAGGATCACAAATTCCAAAAGTTTTTATTTTTTCTTAAATTTCGTGCCCAGTCAAATAGGTTCACATAAATTGGAACGGAGGGATTACTTATTTGCAGATGTAATGTTCCTTATATTTCAGAATTATAAACTAAAATTACCTATATATGAAAACACAACTAAAATCTCTTGTATAAGTTTTATAGAATTTAATATGTATGAATTTTTAATTTATTTCGTTTTGAATGTGTGACTTCAGTTTAGTTAATTTACTTGATTACGGATACACCCCTTATATTTCAAAATTAAATACTTAAGCCCCCTCCCCTAATGAAAATATTAATATAAGTTAAAGTTTGTGTATATGATTTTGTTGTACAAGCTAGGGTTAAGTGGCCAATTTTGAGATATATTCCCGTAGTTGGTTATGTTATATGGGTATTCAATGTGATACTCTAATTATTTTAACTGTGAATTGTTTTCTGTGATTTCTAAACAGACAATTAAAAAAAAACATCTTTAAAAGTTCAGTTCTAGAAAATTGACAAATCAAACTCCATTTTTACACGATGAAATTTCTTTATCTTCTGAGGTGGAATTTATAAAGTGCCAACGCACTGACATGGCGGTTAGCTGTTTGAGCAATTCACACATTCAGTTACATTAACGGAACAAATTATTATTATTATTTTAAAAATAATTTTGTTGTTATAGTGAGTAAAATTTAGTGGCCCTGCGATTAACCTGATTTTTGGTGAATGTAGTTTCGGAATGTCAAACAAAAAAGGCTAGCTCATTTACAGTGTCACAAACAGAACTACTCCCTCCGGTTCATAATAAGTGACCAATTTACTTTTTTATTTTGATTCAAAATAAGTGTCCATTTATATAATCAAGAAAAAATTCAATTTATTTTTCCAACATTACCCTTATGTACGTATTCCTAAAAAGTCATTTACTCCTCACATTTGAGAAAAGAAGTAAGTACTACTATAACTATGGTGCAACATATGAAAGGTAGTTTAGTCACACTAACTATTTTCGTCTAGAATTTAGTATTTCCTTAATAGGTGACCCAAAACAAATTGGTCACTTATTGAATACCCTTTTGATCATTGGTCCCTTATTATTTGAGAAAAAAATTAGAAACTTTAAAGTTTGAAACAAGCTTAAAGCAAACACCTTCCCTCCCCGTACCCATTTTGAAAAGAAATACCCCTCTATGTTTGGTGCTTTCTCTTTCTTTCGAACTTCATTTTGCTTATACTTAGAAGATAAGTCATCATAATCATTAAGTTTTTAAAGAGTTGTATGCCGAATTTTATTTATAGTTATTAGCATATCGTGGTCCCCGTGATGCTCAAATCTTGGGTCCGCCTCTAGGAGTATCTATTTCATAATTTAGTTTTTAACACAAGTTATGTACAGATAATGAAGCTTGAAGCAGCTTCAAAATGAAACATATGCACACAAGGCATGCTCCTTTAGCACATTTACATAATCAAGAAAAATTTAACACTTCACTTGACATATCATATAGTAATAAAGATTAAGCCTTTGATTTAGCTATATACTTAAGCAGTTGGATAAGAAGCATCCATGGCAATCCCGCATAGCCCTTCTTTAGCATCAATGTCACGTTCCATCCTTATATATCCATTTTCACCCCAACTACTACCCCAAGAATTCTTAATCAACCAACATTTAGTACCATCTTCAGCTTTTCCATATCCGACTGCTGTAATACCATGATCTAACTCCATTCCACACGTGCCTGTAAAAACTCCACTCGTGTAGAATTGGAAGGTAAAGTCACTGGCATCAATAGACACTGAAATTGGCTGATTTGCCACAGCATTGAGGAGTGCTTTCTCATTGTTTTTGGGTACTTTTTCGTAGCCTTTGATATCTGCTACATGTGAAGACTCCTTTTTTGTGTTGCATTTTCCGTCAGCAGCTTCGTATGGGTAAGATGTTTCAGTTGTAATGCCTTTGTTTTTCACCATGAAATCGAATGCATCTTCCATGTAACCGCCTTCACATCCTTGATCTTCACTCTTTCTGTCACAGTCCACCAACTCTTGTTCTGATAGAGAGATCAACTTTCCTGTTGAGAGTTTGGTAATCCCCTCTGTTGCTGCTATTGCAGAAAATGCCCAACAGCTCCATGTTTGTTTGTGATAGAAAAAAAGGACCACAAATTAACGATAATGTGGACTGATAGTGTCGTGGCACCTAAAATATAATTACATGTACTTCTCACTAATAAGTGGAACTAGTAATATAGAAAATAAAGTAAGCAACTTCCTACAACATGTTGTAGGAATATATACCACAGCGGAAGCAATAACAGAATCTTATTCACGTGTAATCTAAACAACTAGCACGTATGGAGATTTTAGGATTACCTCTTGAAGCGTAAACACAACAAATCTATGTCGTTCTCCAGTTCCTTAGTTGAAAACACACCAGCAGATTTCCACAGTCTTCTACTGTGTTACCCAAACAATAACCGAAAAATGGAGAATTTTGGGTGGGCAAAATTCTAGTAGAAACCGTAGTCAGAATCTTGTCAAAAACGTCCAGCCTTTATATCCATATATATATAATTGCGTTTTAGGTCAAAACCGTTTTCAAAACCTGTTAGGTTTCCTTCTCCCACTAAGGGACGGTTTCCACGTTTTCTTTCTCACTAAGTAACAGTTTCCACTATTTTCTATTATTTAGGCACAGTAGGGACCACAGAATTTAATTAACAAGGCTTCCTATTATGATATTAATTTCGAAATTCTGAAACTAATTTCCATCATAATAAATTACGAATTATTCCACTAAAAATTCGTAATTGCACTCCTTAGTTCAATTTCGAAATTCTTCCATAAAACCTTATTTAACTCCCCATGTTAAGATTCAGATACTAATCAATCAAATTAAATTACTGACTATTTAATTTATTGATTACTTCCTTTAGACTTACACTTAACTTATTTCATGTGTCGGATACAAAATCCACCGGCCGGGTTTACACATGAAAACTTATAAGCTTTCATAAAGGAGTATCATCAATCTCAAAATCGAGACATGGATTCCATCAACTAATTATTACTTCGCCAATGTATATCATTGTTATCCAATTTACCAGGCTTATTGACTCGCGAAAGAATCTCGCCTTTTAATAAATCAAAACAACAAGTGACATACACAGCTAATAATAATTATATCAGAATTAAGAGTATAAGTCATTAAATGGACTAGAGAAATTATTTTATAAAGTCAGTATAAAATACGCATCTCTACTTGATCCGTTCAATACATACAAAATGTATTAGCACAAGAAGTTGGAATTAAACCATTCTCATAATCAAGATAAATTATATTTAATCTTGTGCTACAATCATTCCGATGATTTGTCCAATTCCATCATTAGATTGTGAACATTAACTTTTATGTCTTACAAGAACCGATGATTTAATCTTCCGTGTATAAGCTAAACTCTATACACTAAATCATCTACTATGTAAGCAATGGATGCACAAACCAACACATGATATTTAAAATGAAACTTTATTGAATTTAAACAAGTAAATAAATAATTGTTCATAAAGAATACTATAACAATACGCATGGCTTATAGTATATTCTAACACATGTTAGGTTATATTGATAGCATAAAGTTATTTACATTTTCAGTGTACATAAATTAAATCCATCGTTTTTAAGGCAATTATAAATGTAAGGCTAGACCACTTACCACATTGTCCTTGATCCTTAATTGGTGTGACTGCACCCTTTGTTCTCCAATCCATAGTTGTTGGAACTGCTGTCACATTTTTTATATCTGAATGAGGTAATTTTTGGTTCACAAAATGGAATCTTCAGACCATTTCGAGCTGCTCTAAATTCCTCATTAGTTAAATCTGCAAATGCATTGATTCCCAACTTGTAAGGCCGGTTTTGCTGCATCATTAAAAGCTCCAATTCGCTCTGCATTCTCCTTGAATATCTTGAAACGACTATCTCTTTCAGCATTGTTTTTGTATACGCGTCCATATTGAATCATCCATTGCTCATATTTTTGCATCAGAGGTTCATCTGCAAGTGTTCTTGCTGTAGTTTTAGAAGCCCATATCCAAGAATTGCCAAAAGAAGAACTAGGAACTTCATATCTAATGAAAAGAATTCTTTATAAAGAAGATAATTGTAAGCTGTAGGTAATGGTGTATATATTCCTTTGGAGATACTGGTATATATAGATTCTTGAATTTGCATTTGCCTCTAGTTGAATGATCTTCCATCACATGTATTGGTATGAAAATAGCTCTAGTTTTTCTGAGTTTGCCGTGTCAAATATTGTGATTTGGACTAGCCAGTTCTTTGCCGTGGATGCTGGGTTGTTTAGTAATTTTACTCCAACAGTAAAAATTAATCGATTCTTGTTTTATGTGTTTATCTCTCGGGTAATGAAGATCTAACAGCCAACAATTTCAGCTTGGACTTCTTTTCGCTTGAGCAATGTATATATTTTTTATAGCTACGCATAGGTTAGAAGGATGTTTTTGTTAGTAATCCGTATTCGAAAATATATTCAAAAAACCA